AATAAATAAAATATTTTTTTAAATGACCCAAAAGAAGGACTCATAACAAATGGAAGGTAAGCACACTTAGTTTTGGGGGATAGGGGTTATGGGTGAAAGGGGTCAAAAGACACAAACTTCCAGTTATAAAGTAAACAAGTCCTGGGATTCAATGTACGGGATGGTGACTTTAGTTAAAATATTATATTGTATACTTGAAAGATGCTAAGGGAATAGATCTTAAAAGTTCTCAATACAAGAAAAAAAAATTGTAACTGTGTGGTGACAGATGTTAACTAGACTTATTGTGTTGGTCCTTTTGCAATATATATAAATATTGAATCATCATGTTGTATACCTGAAACTACTATGTTATATGTCAATTATACCTCAATTTAAAAATAATACCTAGTTTTGTTTTTTTTAAAGACCCTAAAGTGTAGAAGTACTTGATGTTTAGAGAAACATATTTTCCTCATTATACTAAATGTTATACTACTGTCCTAATATCATGAAAAGATTATTACACCTGGAGACTACCCTGTTTATTCACTCTGTTGTGTAAAAAATTTTAAGCCTAACATGTACAGTGTGTGTGTGTGTGTGTGTGTGTGTGTGTGTCAAGGAGAGGCTATTTTTCCTCTCCTATTTGTTTTAAATATATGTGTTGCAGCAAACTCAAATTTTGCGTTATTCAAGCCTATTAATAGGCAGTAAGTACAGCTTTAAAAAAAGTATTAACTTATAATCGCAGAGCAATTTCTTTCTACCATGCACTATCATGGGCATTATCCCACTGGGTTGTCGTAAGGCTGTGAGGGAGGCAGGGCACCATCAATTTTCAGTTCTTTATACTCATTTAAAGGTAACGAAACAGCCTTATTGGATCACTTGTCCAAAGTCAAGTGCCTGTTGGTTCTAAGTACAGTCTCTGCCCATACCACACAGTGTCTGGAATGATGACGCTACTGAGGAATAGGGTGCCCGTCTACCTGAGCGGTGGGGGTGGAGAATGCAAGCTTGCACAGCTCCTATATCCTCTGGGTCTTACATGAGACACATCTGATAGGGCTTCTCATCCTTTCTAGTTAACTCCATTTATTTAACCTAATCTTTCCTCAAACTAAGTAGGTACCACCCTGAAGCAAAAAAAAAAAGCAATTAAAATACTTATCGCATACTTGTTGCCACTATATCTTCTCTACTGTACAATTTTTAAAGGTGTTACTATTGTAGAAGACCCCAGAATAGAGTCATAAATGTATATCTTCAGTGTGATAGAATTACAATTTTTAAAAACTAAATTGTACTTTCTTGGTATGTAATTTTTTTGTGCATTCATCATTGAGCTATTTTTTTCCTACTCTGAAAAGCTGTTTTGCTACAAGTCCGGTTTTTTTTTTACTTTTATCCACAGGGAAGTCATAATCCCCTACTTAAATAGAAGCCGGTTACCATGGAAATCATTCTAATGCCACTGAATCAATATTTTGATTTTGCTGACATTTAATATAGTAAGACAGGCTAAGATTCATAGAAGTCACTTTTCATCTTTGTTATAATTTTGATAGCTAGGAAAATTGTAAAGAAAACATATGCTCTGTAATGAACTCCAGTTAACTCCCAGTTATAAAGAACTGAGAATTCATAAAAGAACAGTCTACCTATTTATATACTTTTGGCTTTGAGTGTACACATAAGCAGGCATGCATTTGGACTCAAGATTTTTTTCTCCATCTCTGAACTGAGCCCTAATTCTCTCTTGTCATTCAAGTCATAACTTGGTAGAGGAGATTTGAATTATCCAATTTTGCTATTGCCTTTTTATTAAGCGTTCTGAAGAGGTGAAATTTGCATCGAGAATCCCTCTTCTGTAAAAGTTGACCTTTTCTGCACGGGATCCTAGTAGCCCATCTGGTCCACCGACTGTCCTCAAACATGTACTACAGCTGAAGGCATCTCAGTCCATACTTAGAACTCCTTTTGAGGAGAGATGTTGAACTTGGACCTCATGTTTAAGAAGTCTCATGCCGATCAAGTAGTTTTCCACGTCTCACTTAAGTCTTTGTGCTGCTCTAATTTAGTCACTGTCTCCTCTCCTGTCCTCAGAAGAAATAAAGATAATAGAGCTACTGTCTTCTGTTTGATAAGTAGCTATTTGAAACCCTAGATTTTTAGATGGTGAGGGGACCTGAAAGAAGAGCTGCTCTCTGTCAGGAATTAGGTAGCTAAGGCATCTCAAATGAATGGTAATCAGTTCTACCTTTTTTTTTTTTATTCTTATGTTAATCCCCATACATTACATCATTAGTTTTAGATGAAGTGTTCCATGATTCATTGTTTGTGCATAACACCCAGTGATCCATGCAGAATGTGCCCTCCTCAATACCCACCACCAGGTTAACCCATCCTCCCACCCCCCTCCCCTCTAGAACCCTCAGTTTGTTTTTCAGAGTCCATCATCTCTCCTGGTTCGTCTACCCCTCCGATTTCCCCCGTTTCATTCTTCCCCTCCCGCTACCTTCTTCTTCTTCTTTTTTTCTTTTCTTAACATATATTGCATTATTTGTTTCAGAGGTACAGATCTGAGATTCAACAGTCTTGCACAATTCAGTTCTACTTTTAAGACAACTGAATCACCACTCCAATGTTTCTTCTGTGGCACAACCATCCTGTATTTCTGCATGTGTTCACTTTGAAGACCCCAGATCCCCCTCTCTTGAGAGAGGCTATTCTGGAGGTATTTCACCCTGGTTCCAGAAGTTTCCAACAGTACTGCAGTGCTTGATAACACACTCCTTCCTGGCTACTTTCCTCCTCTGTTTCATCTTTCCCCTCCCCTTTGGGAGGTCCTTTTATTTCCCCTTGATTCTTCAATATTTCTAGATTACATTCAGGCCCGCATCATTCAGAGACCAGTGTTCTACATCAGTAAACGTCTTTTGTAAACAATCTAATATCATTGGCTATCTAGTTTTTTGGCAAGAAAGGCAGAGAGGGGGGACTTCTGGAAATAATACCAGAGAAAATAAAGAGAAATGAAAGGCACTGTGTAACAACATCAGGGGAAACCTAAGAACAACATTTAAAATTTACAAAAGCAGATCTCTAGGCCCCTTTAGTGTATTAACAAGTAAAGGAAACACTCATTTGTTTCTATAAGCATCAATGTGTTCCAAGTTGAAGGACATGCTGATGACTTTGAATCAGGAGAGAAAGGGGTCTTCTAATCTACTCTCAAGTCAGCAGAGGAACAATAAAGAGAGTTGCACAGACACACACACACAGACAAGCGCACGTGCACACACACATGCACGTTCATGTCAGTTTCATTCATTATAGCAAACCTGGACCAACCTAAGTATTCTTCAAGGAGAAAATGATTAAATAAAGTGCTATGATGTACACTTCTCTTCTTAAAAATGGTGTTTCTTAAATTGAATGCCATGGAAAATAGTCACAAAAGAGTAAGTGAAAAATAAAACACAAAACTGTATGCATTATGATTTCAATTTTGTAAATATGCATATGCATACGTGTTATTCACGTATGTACTCACATACATATGCACACGGTCACGTTTTTGCATGTATGTATAGTAGGAAAAACTGAGCCCCAGTGGAGATTTTCCACGTAGAATGCATGGATTAGCTCCACCTCCCGGCACTGTATTTGTATTCTTCATTGCATAATGAAGCTTTCGTTCTTGTCTAAATAGGCACTGGGGCACCAATATGGGGGGAAGGAGAAATGAGGCTGATGGAAGGGATGTGACATGCCTCATGGGTACCCCATGTCATGGACTAGGCTTGAGCTTCTGTGGAAAGGTTAGACCAGAAGATGAGGGAACTTTTATGAAGGCCTGGGAAGCCCACGTGACAAAGATACCTTCCCAGTTGAGGAAAGGACCACCTTGGCTTCCACTCCCAGCTGCAAACCACTGTGACACTCGGTACGCTCGGGGCTTGGGGAAGCCTGCCGTGGAGAACGTCAGGGGCAGACAGCGTGAGAGAAAAACTAAGGGACCTGGCGGAGCCATTTTCTCAAGGTGGCCACCAGAACTGGCAGCACAAACAACCTCGAAGCACTTTCCACAGCTAATCCACAAAATCTGCACGGGCTTCTATCAAAGCACACTTGAGACAGCTCTCCCTCCAAGGGACTCTCAGGAGAAACTCAGGAAAGCTGAAACTTCCTTATTCAAGGAAGACTGAAGAGCTGGTGAGATCTACGGTTAACCTGACCTAATTCATACTCACAGGCCAGCAAGGAGGTAGAGAGAGATTTGTACATTTCATAGCTGGGGAAAAACCGAGGTCCAGGGTAGAATTTGGAGATAGGGATTGAAGGAGACATTGAAATATATACACAGCGTGTGTGTTCATATTCACTGGAAGGAACTCCACCACAATGTACAAAATCATTGTTTCTAAGAATGATTACAATTTGCCTTCTGTATGTTTGTCTGCCTTACCATGTTCCCCTGAGAATCACATCATGCTTCTAGAATCATGTAAGTGATACTAATCCAAGCAAGACAATATACATTTTAGATTTTTTTGTTTTTTTTAGGCCAACAACTTCTTAATGATTTGAAGCTTTAAGGGGGTAAGAAAATACACACGCGGGCGCCTGGGTGGCTCAGCTGGTTGGGCGACTGCCTTCAGCTCAGGTCATGATCCTGGAGACCCGGGATCGAGTCCGGCATCGGGCTCCCTGCTCGGCGGGGGTCTGCTTCTCCCTCTGACCCTCCCCCCTCTCATGCTCTCTCTCTCATTAAAAAAAAGAAAAAGAAAAAAAAAGAAAATACACACGCTGCCTTCCCTTTCTGATAATATAACTATGTCTTCCTGGGTGCCGTCTGTCGACACCTTAATAAAAGTTCCCCTCGTCTCCACCGCTCCTGCCTGGGACTTCAGGGAGAAGGAGGCAGGCGTGTGGGGCCCCGGGGAGGGGGTGGGGGCGCAGGGCAGATGCTCAGGAGCGTGAGGCCTCTCTCCCGGGGAGCCCACGCGTGTTACCTTCGGGCCGCTCGGGGGCCTTCCCGCTCTTGCCCGGCGCCGCGCTGTTGACCGTCTCCGACGACGTGCTCAGCTTGGTGCTGGGGTCCCGCTTGGGCTTGGGCGGCGGCTGCCGGCGGGAGCCACAGCTGCTGTCGTCGTCTGTGCCCCCGACCGAGTGCAGGGACTGCGACCTCACGGAAAAGCCGCTGGCGCAGGGATGGGGAAGTCTGTCCTGAGGAGCAGGCATCGTCATGAATCCCATGCGGAAATGTTTGCCCGCGTAACTTCCTTCGTGGCCCCGCCCCACTTCGCCACCTATGCTGTAAGACAAAGCAGAGCCAAGTCCGTGAAGGGGAAGTGAGCCGGCCCCCCGCAAGGTCCCACGGACGCGAGCGTCCCTATGCTAGGGGAGAGTTCACATCTCAACTCTAGGCTGGTGAAGAAACATTTGCATTAGCACGAGAACTGTGTGTGCGTTTGCATTAAGTGTGACGGGAAAGCAGATACAACCTGATGATAATGAGAAATCCTAACACTTGTTTCCAGCCATCCTGGTGTCCTGGCATCCAGATACTCTCAAAATAGTGTTCCAAAGGAAAAGAAAATACTGCAATAGCATATTTCATCTTCAATTGCTTTTCTTTGAGGGAATTCTTGTCAGGGGCTTAAAAAGCAAACAAGAGGTCCGTGACGATGACTCAGACTGTCTTTTGACACATTATTGAGATCAAGTGGACGGCACTTGAGACTCTTCTCCGCTTCATCAAAATCATCCCTAATGTCACCTGGTTAATACAGTGGGGAAAACAAAGCAAAAAAAAAAAAAAACAGTAAAAGGGGTGCCATTACCAAATATGGGGGGGGGAAGAGAGAGACAGGAGGAAAGGAGACAGGAAGGGAGGAGGAGGGGAAGGGGGGAAGGAAGGAATTGCCAACCTCTGTTAGTTCTCCAGAAACCTTCAGTTATACTAGAAACTTAGTTCTACTAATAAGCTAACTTCACAGAATGAAGTAGCATAACAATAAATAAAGAGGTGTAGTTAAAATATCATGGGATAGGGGCGCCTGGGTGGCTCAGTTGGTTAAGCAACGGCCTTCTGCTCAGGTCATGATCCCGGAGTCCTGGGATCAAATCCCACGTCGGGCTCCTGGCTCAGCGGGGAGCCTGCTTCTCCCTCTGACCCTCTCCCTTCTCATGCTGTTTCTCTCTCCCTCCCTCTCTGATAAATAAATAAAATCTTTAAAAATAAATAAATAAATAAATAAATAAATAAATAAAATATCATGTGATACTGGGATATTTCTAAATATCTCATAAATAGGGTATGCAAAGTTTCTAAATACAAGGTTCTTAAGTTTTAGGTAGGAAAGTTTGGAGAAAAGTTTTAAAATATAAGAAATCTCAGTTTGAAGCTCAGCAAATCATAAAGGAGTTATTTCTTGGGCCTTTCTCTATGTTAGTACATAATGGTGACCTTTTTATGAAGAAAAAGGACATGAATGTCAATGAGAATTTTTTTTTTAAAGATTTTATTTATTTATTTGAGAGAGAGAGAATGAGAGAGAGAGAGCACATGAGAGGGGGGAGGGTCAGAGGGAGAAGCAGACCCCCTGCTGAGCAAGGAGCCCGACATGGGACTCGATCCCGGGACTCCAGGATCATGACCTGAGCCAAAGGCAGTCGCTTAACCATCTGAGCCACCCAGGCGCCCTCAATGAGAATTTTTAAAAGAGAGATTTTTTTTCTAGAGTTTTCCTCATTTATGTTCATTCATCAATAGAGGAAACAAAAATAAACATTGGAAATATTCCACTGATTTTCTTAGACAGATATGAATGATAAAAATGTAGCCTTGAGTATATGAATTTTGGAAGCCTATTGAATCTACCTTTCCAGACATAAGTTTATTTAAACTTTTTTTTAACCTTAATTTTGGCTGGCTCTGCCCTTGTAACATGATGAAATTCAAGCTAAGGTTTTGTAATTCTCTGTATTGTATCTTTCATAGCATTATAATGTTTGTCACAAATTTTACATTCCAGCAGGAAAAATAATGGAAAATGAGCTTTTTTTCTTTCCCTCTTCACTTGAGGACTTAGCATAATTACATGACCGGGGTGATAGAGCCAGAAAAGATTCAACAAGAACCTTAGACTGATTCTGGCATTAAATTTGGATGACTTGCCACTCTGTCAAAAATATTTTTTATATTTATTTCTTTTTTTCTGAATATTTTGAGTGCATATTCAGACACTGGATATACCATCTTTGCAAAATGAAATAATGATGACTGGAAGCTGGGTACACTAACCTGAGCAATGGATATCCAGAAGCATGAATGAAATCAAAGGGTTGGCTGGGTGGAACTTTCCACATCATGGTAGAGAGCATCCTAAGCGTGGACAGTGCTTCCACATATTTTATTTTCTGTGTTTTCTTCAAGAACATCCATCAAAAAAATAAATGAAGCTTACTCAGATGGAATGGTTTAGGAAAAATCATTAAGAATTTAAGACAGAATAGGAGTGGTGGAGGAGGGGGATGGGTGTGGTGGACTGGGGAGTTTTCTCTTTGATTTGTGGTGATTGTAACCTTCATCTTTCTCATAGACATTTGATTTCATTTAACTTTGCCTTCAATCGTTTTGCATCTTCATCTTTTCCTTATTTCTGTTGTCATATCACTGAACATAGAGTGCTTTAAGGATTTATTTAGACAGTCATCTCATTCCGAGTAACATAGCCACGTGAGAGGATTTATGCATGTGTTAATGCACATAGGCATTTATGAGACAGTTACTAGGAATAATTGTATCAGCAATTTCTCTGCTACTTTTGACCTAAATAGAGCCTGTGCCTTTTTCCAGACAGATAATTAGCTCTGCTGCTTCATTTCAAAATTACATTTTTTTCAGCATAAAACAGTTTCATCTAACTCTGAATGCTTTTGTTCATATATGTCCATGCACACACACAGATACACACACATTTGTTCCAAAAAGAAATTTAATGTATACTTCAAACAATGGTAGGTCTGAGTTGCTAGTTTAATTTGACCAGGCTGTGAATGCAGGATAAAGGAATGAGACTAAAATAAATTGGATACAAAGGCCATTGTCCAAGGCAAGGTTAAGGGTAAGCAATAAAGGGGTTATGGTACATCTAAGTTCAAGAGACCAGTGAAGATGATTAGTCTAAAGCAAACTGAAGATAGTGGAACACAGCATACAACTAATTCCTGAATTTATTGTAGGAACATGTGGAGTTTTAAAAATATGCAAATTCCAGGACCCACACTAAAGACAACTACTGAATCACATCTGTTGAGTCAGAACCTCTGTAGGTGAAGCCAGTGAGTCCTGTTTTTAAAAACTGTATCCATATGTTTCTGACATAGCCAATCCAGAGACCTCCCAGAAATATTAAGAACAATAGTTAGAGCCATTAACGAGCAGACATCTGTTATTTAGAAACGGCCAAGGAAATACAAATATCAGAAAGTGGGACAAAGGAGATTTGCTAGCTACCAGTAAAATATCACAGATAGAAAAAGGTACAATTTGGGCGCCTGGGTGGCTCAGTTGGTTAAGCGACTGCCTTCAGCTCAGGTCATGATCCTGGAGTCCCGGGATCAAGTACCATATCGGGCTCCTTGCTCAGCAGGGGGTCTGCTTCTCCCTCTGACCCTCCCCCCTCTCATGTGCTCTCTCTCTCATTCTCTCTCTCAAATAAATAAATAAAATCTTTAAAAAAAACAAGAAAAAGGTACAATTTATTAGTCAGATCTTGTTAGGTTATCCTGTAGTAACAAACAATCCCTGATTCTTAATGCTTTACAAAAACAAAGGTTTATTTCTTGCATGCATTAATTGGGTCGACAGTGTATTAGCCGTGACTCTCATCTACAGATCTTCATTCTAGGATCTAGCCTCTCCTGGGATATGTCCTTATAGCAGAGAGAAAGGACTCGCTGAACCACGTAGTGTCTCTTAAAGCTTCTGCTCAGACATGACAGAACGAATTTTTCATTCACATTCCATTGGCTAAACCCAGTCTTATGGCCAAACCTGACGTCAGTGGGGTAAGGACAGATCGTCCTCCAACAGGAAAGCATTGCAAGTTACATGAGAGTATGTGAGGACGCCAAATCCTCTGCAAATACTGGTACAGCAGTTGTGGTGTCTGCCACAGAGATCTCCCTTCAAGAGAGCTTGCCGTGAGGAATGCTGTTTGCCAGCTACCAATAATCCAGTGGTTATTATGGGGAATTTGTATTTTTTTGGGCTCTACAGGTTAGAGATTCTATTCCCTGAAGAGGGGCACACTCCTTCTATAAGACAGAGGAAGGGTTCCATTGAGCAATAAGTCATAGCTGGCTCCTGGGTAATTTGAACTCCCTTGTAGTGGCCAGCAGGCCAGAAGACAAGTCTCCATTGATGAACAGCTCTTTGATCCTGATAAGCAGGAGGAGGCAGGGCTGCTACCACATGACGGGGTAGAAAGAAAAATGTGTGGAACCCCTTTTGATACTCCCTTGCCCATTTGTGATTTTGAAATGCAGTCCCATGCAGCAACCATGGCCCAAGGAGGGTTTGGTTACCAGGGGTTCCAACCTTTCATGGGAGGGATTAGTCTCACCACCAGGTAAGCCACTGAGACCAGCAGAGGTCTTAGCTGACGGTGACAGTGAGGTGAATTTAGAACAAATGGCAGGGGGGCGACAGAGAACGAGTATTGGTTGCAGCCCCCATATGAACTGCAGTGTTGAGGGCTGTAGTTTACTGTTCTAACTGATCCCTTATAAGATTCCCCTCAGTAAGAGTCCTGAGGGAGCAATGAAACAGCTGTCTCCAAAACCTGTAGGAGAAGAGCGTCTGCTGAGGAAAAGGGGTGAATTGTGATAGCCATGAAACCCTGTGGCTCAGATCTTCCTCAAGAGAAACTTCTCTAAGGACAGCAGCTGAGAGGCACCAACTATAAAATCTTCAAATCTGTGGCAGCATTTTAGTCAAGGTCACTCTGTCCCTAGAAGGTTCCTCACCAGTAGCTGAGCATGATGTGGTAAGGGACCTGGCTATTTTTGCCCAGTGTGAGAGTCCTTTCTGGACAATCTTGGTGTCTGACTTCCCCTATTGGGCTGGCAGAGAATTTTCCACAGCGTGAAGCTCTTCCAATCCCACTTCTCTTTCCTTTAGCAGATGTCATGCTACATTGTGACTTGGGGCCTGCCCTGCTCCCTCCCCATCATCCCAGGCATCCTTCTCAATAAATCTCTCACATTTTCTTTTTTTTTTTTTTTTCAGAGAGAGACAGAGAGCCT